TCTCTGTTGTCCCTTTCTTCTTTTGCCCTCAATCTTTCCCAGCATTAGGCTCTTCTCCAGTGAGTCCTTTTTCTAATTGTTCACTTTGTGTTCATGAGTTCCATTACATAATGTTAGCACAGAGATCTTGATGTCCAGATGTTTCCATCCATTTAGCACTGGGGAAACCAATGGAAAATAAAACTCCTAGGTGTAGCAAAATGAGTTGGTTTAAAGGGCCAGGGCATGCTCAGAGAATTACTTCTTGCCAAAATAACAGTGTGAATAAAACTGTTGTTACATAATCTTGCAAATTTAATTTAAAAAAAAAATTCACATACATTTTATGCTTCCTCCTTGTTTGGAGCAGATTTTTCTTCATATGTAAACTCTAAAAATATATCTTAAAATGTCAATAGAAATATATACATTTATTGTTACATCTTACTTCAGTTGTAGCAGGTAGGTTAGACCTCTGTTTTGGTAAGTTCTGCTGTGAGATTTGCAATGCGGAAGACTCCAGGATAGGCTTTGTTATTGTGGCTGTAAGATATGTTCATAGTAAATCATCATTAAATGACAATATTTAATGTTTTTACATACATCTAAATCTGTTACATAGCCAGCTATACAGCAAATAGACCACATTGCTCAAGCAATCTGATTGAGTCATCCCTAGCTCCTTGGTTCTGCCTTATTATGCCTATTTTTTTTAAAAATATCTTGTGTAGCAAAATGCATTACGGAAGTTATCACAGGATAAATCATTTGCTTTTTAAAATATATTTATGGTTTTATGCTGAACTGAGAATGAGGATGTACTTGGTTTCTTCTTGTTCACTGCTGGGTGAGAAGACATACATTCACAACAAAACTGAATGTGTGCCATGGTGGCACAGTGGTTAGAATGCAGTATTGCAAGCTAACTTTGCCCACATCCATCAATTCAATCCTGACCAGTTCAAATTGACTCAGCTTCCATCTTTATGAGGTCAGTGAAATGAGAAGCCAGATTGTTGGTGGCAATATGCTGACATTTACAGTATAAACCACTCAGAGAATGCTGTAAAGCACCATGAAACAGTATATAAGTCTAGGTGTTGTTGCTATTGTTATAATTCATTGATTAATGAATAATAATTAATTAATTAATTCAATTTCTATAACTGCAACTTATCCAAGTGATTCTGGATTATTTACATGGCCAGTATTCATTATTTATTTATTTATAATTTTATTATTTATTAGATTTATTTGCCATCCATTTTACTTCAAGACCTGAATTTAACAGACAGGGCCTCTTTTAAAACCTTTGTCTGTAAAATGCAGTTTCTGTATACCTATTACTTTAATGGTCTGGCAACTTGCATGGTCTTTTAAAAAAAAACACAGGTACCGTATTTTCACGACCAAAAGCCGCACCGGATTAAAAGCCGCAGTATCAATTAACGTTA